GCAGACCAAAGGTTGAAAGCCACAAATTACAGGGTTTCCATGGTTACTTCAGGGCTTGCAGGGTTGGAGGGTCACTGGGTACTGTCAATTATCCCCTTGGCTGCAGGATCATTTTTTTCTTTCTTTTTTTTTTAACAAAAACCTGAACACATTGATTCAAAAACAGTTCAGTTAAGTTAAAATCCTATAATCAGTTCAGCCCCAATTTCAGTCACTAGGGTGTGAAGTGTAGATTTGTCACTAGCCACATCTGGGTGAATCCCTTGGTCCTCAGGTACAGCCTGGTGAGGAAGCTACCCTGCTTGTTAGCTGCCCGGGACAAGAAAGTCCTCCCCAGTTCTGAGCAGCGCCCTCCTCACCCAAGTGCCAGGGTGGCTGCAGGTCGCTCAAGGGCTCCCAGGTGATGGTGGCTCCTACACAGGGGCGGACAGACGCTTGAGGAATCGGTGTGAGTAAAGATTTGCCTGTAGCTGTAGTTGTAGTGAATGTAGCCGCTGCACTGCCTCCTTGATGAGGTTTCCCGAAAGCAGGAGCTGCTGCGGGAGCTGGTGAGGGTCGTCGTCGCTGGTGTGGGTCTCAGGCTGAGATCCAGGTCGCTGTTGCAGAGGGAGGGACATGGCTGTGCTCTGGGGCCAACCCCGCCGGCAAGGGCCTGAGAGAGGCTGTGGGGTGCTCGGCTTTCCTGTCACCGGAGGTCCCTCAAGGCCAGGCTGCCGGGACACAGGGCATAGGGCGCTGGTGACCGCAGTGAGCTCCGCCACGCAGTAGGGAGCCGCCTGGCTCCGCAGGCGCCAGCGCTCCCACAGCATGCAGCTAATGGCTCTGGGGTGAGCTGGAGCCCCGGTCTCTGCAGGCACAGAAGATCTCAGCATCTGCCTGGACGGGGACCGGTTCTGTTCCACTGAGATCGCAGCCAGGACCCGCAGGGGCGGGGGGCCCGGGGCAGCACTCGGCGAGGCAGGGCCATCGTGTGCTGTGTCCAGCTTCAGCGTCTCGCCAATCAAGGCGATGAGCTGGTCCACATCGGTCAAGCTGCCCAGAGTCACAGACTGCTGCAGCAGGAGGAAGCTGTCGTCCTTGTCCTCCCCCTCTGCCTCAAAGCCCCCTTCCTCCTTCTCCGCCCTCTGGCACTGCATGGCCCTCTGCCTGGGACCCCTCGTGGCTGTCTGCAGGCTTGATGGGCTGCTGCTAGGGCAATAGAATCACAGAGGCTGGGGCCAGTCTGGGCCTGAAATGAAGAAGCCTGGGGCCAACAGACATCCAACCTGTGGAGGCTGCAGGATGTTTACAACCAGTAATTAGCAAAAGAATGTTAACTGGAGTGGTGGACAGTTACCTCCCCTTCTCTGAGAGCAAGGTGTCAGGTGCCAGCCTTGGCACTCCTGATTTAAGGAGTTAAATTTTGTCTTACATGTAGAAATTCCCTTTTCAGGGCCCAAGTTCTTAAACTTTTATTAATTTTAATTTTCATTTGTCAGCTTTCCTAGCCTGGGGCTTAGGTCTTGGGATATTCCCTTAAAGGCCTGGGGTATTGACAGTAAAACACAGA